TGTTTTTTATTTAAAATCTGTGAATATATGATAAATAGATTATTATTGAGAAAGTTATAGCTAATATTTATAAATTACTGGAAGAACAAATGGGAGAAAATTAAATATATGATCTTGAATTATTCTACTTTTTTAAAGTTTCTATTTGAAAAGCCAATTTCTGGAAAATAATTTAGGACTATAATACTTTTGAGTATACTCAAGTGTAAATGCAACATTATGGAAATCATCAGGAAAATATTCTTGATGAACTGATTTAGACAACGGGATTATTAGACTGGTGTTTCATTAACTTACCCACACATCTAGGAGGAGTAGGTTCCCATCCTTCCTCAGTGCATACTACGGTGTCACTGATGCTATTTTTAGTGATTTCAAACCCCTCTTTACATTCATAGTGAAGTACATCTCCAGGAAACAAAACAGGCTTAGTTGTGTTGAAGATAAAATTATCTGCAGGTGGCTTTAAGCATGTCCCTGAGGAATCAAAGAGTGGATATTATTAATGTCTCACTGTTATTTTCTCATGAGTCTAAGTTGTAAGCTCAACAATTCTCACCAAAGAATGACCTCTTAGGTATAGGCCCATGCACAAAGCAAATGATGAGTTGCTATAAATAGGTTCTCACTGCTTCACGCTAGTGATTTTGGCAAACATGGTTAGTTGCTTTTCAACCAGGTCAGGAGGTCACATTAGACAATTTGATCTTCCAGATTGGTTCACTGGCCCTTTCATGATTCTAGCATCTGAACACAGATGCATAGTTTTTCAGGAGTGTGCTGAAGTTGTGGCTATCTAAGGTACTGCAGACAGTCGTTCTGTGAGCACTTTGTGTTTTTCAGCAGTTTTTGCTTTTGAATCTGAACTAAATTTTGTCCTTACTATATGTTGTGCAGAGAACATGGCAGATGCTCAATAGGTTTTCTTGCCATTTTACCAGTTTAAGGAGATATAACTTTCTGTGTAAATGCAAACTCCATAATATATGTTTTCTGTTTGTATCTATAGGATATTTTGTGATGTGGCATAAGCTCTTGGGAGGACAGGAAATAAAATGCAAATTCTACAAACTGTTATGTTTACAATAAAAGTGTACACATATTTAGGTTACAAGTTATTTTTTTCAAATCATGATCAAATACAGTCATTTTATACTATAGGTCTATAGCTAGACTTCTTGAAGAGCTACATTTACAAATGGTTATGATATCAGGCTATTCTTCACTGAACAAGATTCCATGTCTTTGTCTATGCCAGTCAGTTTCAATCTATCTTCCAATGGAATTGTATTTACTTACTGATACATTCTGGCTCTGGGCTCCAGCCCTCTGTAAGGCATTGTGTCTCTACCTCAGTCTCTCCTTTTGAGGTGGTATAGCCATCCCGACAAATATATTTTGCTTTATCTTTGATCTGAAAACTCTGTTGCTCCGGTACAAAACGCCCATGGAATAGAGGAACATTACAGGTGCGTTCAACTTCTAATGAAAAAAGGAAGTATAACATGTGAACTCTTCTGTTTATAAAATGTGAATTCTTTATAAAATACCTGGGAAACCAGTGGAGCCAGAGGAAGATTGCCTCTTTTCATATAAATGGGCTAAGAGACTGTTAAGAAAAGCTGTATACAATATGTTGGGAAATCCATAGGCAGATTGAGTGGAGAAATTAATGTATCTGATTAGGCAAATTCACTGCTGTCTTTCTTATAGAAACTTAAGGCATCTAATTTGCCCTTTAATTGTATAAAATAAATCTTACTGCCATATAAGCTATATGTATTCCATATTTTAGTAGTCAGATCCCAGTCTGTATTGGTATTGCTATATGTGGATTATGGGCTGCAGGTTCTCACTTCTTTTATCCTCTATTCTTCTCCAAATCCCTTGGAGTTTAATGGGTGACAGTATCAGGAGATTTGGTTTTTAATCCTTTTAGGATGCTGTTGGCACCCAAATTTGTTAATCTGCAAGATCTCTAGGGTTTCTTGAAATTGCTATGGAAGGATAAATGAAGAATAATAAATTGTAGCTGAATCCAGGAAAGATGGGAATATTCAAGGAGAGTATTCAAAACTCCAGCTCTACATTCTATTCCAGATGGAGTTACAGTGCCCCATCTCAAAGGAAACCACATTCGGCCTGGGGTTTTCAATCCCTAAAACTGTAAGGATATATTTCAGCTATGCAGGGTGACACATAATAGTAATAACATGATACATTTCAACATTGGCGTGAGCAGAAGAACAAGTTATATAAGTTAGCAGGATGCTATGTTACAGCTTCACTGTCAATGAAGATCCAATCAACTAGGCGAAATGTGTCTAAAGGTTTACTATAAACAACTAACGGAAAAATGAAGGCCAAACCTTTAGTCCCCATTGAGTCCCCATTGACATATTGCAACTCATTTTGGGGAGAAACCCCTAAAGCTGGTGTTGTGTAGTGGGAACAGCGAGGCATTGAAGACATGGAGTTGAAATAACAGCTCTTTATTAAGTTCTCACAGAAGCAGCTCTAGCAGCTGCTTGACTCATATTTATACGGACCGCCACTAGGCAGCAGCCAATCAATTTAAAGCAGTAGTTCTTAACCTTTTTGAAAGAATCACCCCCTTGAGCCAATGAGGAAGTTGTCATCGCCCCCCTGCCCCAACATAACCTCTCAATCACAACATAGAAAATAATTCTTCAATTTATGCAAACGCTTTTTTTGTTTTCTTTAAAATTGTCATCAGGACATATTGATGCAAATAATTTATTTCCAGTCTTTTTCCCATATCTCAACTGTCTGAAAAATTTTGGTGCCACCAGTCACTTTATTCCCAAACTTCATGATACGTGTATTTCATTATTATTTTATTTATTCAAGACACTTAAATGTAATGACCACTGAAAACAAAATTCAATCGCAAAAAAATGAAATTCCCGAAAAGAAAAACAGTAACATTTAATGATTGAATTACAAGTGAAATTTAAGACACAAAAAGGAATATAAAAAGGGTAGAGGCTGCTGCGCAACACGCATGAAGATAAGCAATGCGTATTCACATATGTACGGCATTCTGTACTGAAGCTAGCTGGAGGAACATTTGAAAACACAATTCAATCAACTAATAGCGAGCGATCTGATGTTTTTGTACGACAGATATGCAGCGATTCACTGTACGAAAAAGTCTCAAAAGTGTCCCCCAAACCTCTCGCTCCATCGCCCCCATATCGCCCCCTTTTCGTTCCTTCGCCCCCGCGTCGCTCTCTTTTGTTCCATTGCCCCCCTGAAAAATGAAATTGCCCCCTGGGGGGTGATATCGCCCAGGTTAAGAACCACTGATTTAAAGTATGCATTCCCACCTAAAACAAAGGCTTAAAGCTTATACAGACAGTCTATGATTCAAATTGAACAATTAGTTAACCGTTTTTTATAACAGACCTTATGAAGTGGTTTAATACATAACACTCATTCCCCCTAAATCAGTTACATATCCATAAAATGTACATAGTCCTTTAGGTAGGCAGGCGGCTTTTGTGATTGTTCTGATCACTGCATTTCTCCCCGAGGTTCCCGGACTACCCTCGGCTGGCTGGGTAGACCAGGACTCCAAAACCCTCTAGCACTGGGTAAACCAGAGTCTATTTGACTGCTCGAGTTGGGTAGACCAGTCTCTGTTTGATTTCTCTGACCAGGTAGACCAGTCCCCTTTCAGCTGGTCTGTCTGAGTAGACCAGTACACATGTCAGTGAGAGGAGCAGTCCCAGAAAGGCTGGGAAACAAGTCATCCAGCAAGTTCTGATCCACAGGCACTATCCCTTTGGTCGGTAGCAACTCAACCATGACTGAGTCATCCAGCATGTCTCTTTGAGTCTCGCAGGACTCCAAAGACTCTAATGCGCCGCAGCTGTCAGGCAGCCCTCAGCTCTGCTCTTGGTCAGTAGCAACGGTTTGACTCTCCTGCCGCCGACGCAGTTGATTGATGTGGTGGCGCAAAATGCGCCCGTCTTCCAGGACCACTTCGTATGACAGTGGTCCCGACACCTTGCAAACCACAGCTACCACCCACAGTGCCCCTTGACCATAGTTCCTTGCCCAAACTCGGTTGCCGACTTGCAAGTTCCTCAGGGGCTTGGGCTGCACTGTCTCTGTTGCAACTCGGTCTGGATGGAGACGGTCCAGCTTCATAGTCAGCCGACATCCCCATCTCATTTCTGCTGGGCTATGACCCATTGAAGTGCACAGAGTTGTGTGTTGGCAGACCAGGAAGTCTACCAACCTGTGATGCCAATC